CCCGCTTAGCTCCTACGGGGCCCTATCTGCAACAAGTTTGGCCGCGCTAAGTGAAGGCAGGCACGACAGGCCCTTCGGGCCTCATTCTTCAGGGTACCCCGCATCGGAAAAATTCAGACAGTTGGGTTGCGCCAGTTGGTTGAATGAATCCAGGCCCTGGGCCGCCTGTGTAAATGAATGTGAAGCAGGCTCTAGGCTGGATACGGGTACCGGGCCAAACACAGACCGAAAGCAGTTGGGCGCATGCAACCACTTCAGGCCCAAGGCCTGCTCTCTTCGTGACTGGGCCTGTGCCTACCGGAATCTACCGGAAGTTTCCTAGACTGGACGCAGGCAGGCCACTTCGATATAGGGAAGGGTCTGCCTCCTCATTCGGTATTCGGGTGCTGGCTGCATGCTGCGTGAGCACTGCTGCGTAATCCGCTGGCTGGCTGGCACTCACGCTCTCACGGGCGAGTAAGAGATAGCACGCAGCCATAGCCAAGCTGCGCTGTTGTATGCTAGGTGAAACGCAGGGTGGTTCTTGGGGCGCTAGTGGCATCTGTGCGGTGTGGATCGGGGTTGTGAGTGTTACGAGAGACATACCTGGTGCTGAAGCGTGCGACATTGGTCGCCATATGCTCGTACTTCGGGAACGCTGTCGCTGTCATCATTCTGCTTCGTAGTATAGGCTAGATAGGATCTGCCACATGTAGTCTGGGCGCCGAGCGCCAATAGGATATCAACTTTGGTTCGTAGTTGATGATGATGGGACTACTTCAGCATTGTCAATTTTGAACTCTTGGTGTGTTCTTATTTGGTGTATCTCATGATGCAAGTCTGCTGTGGTTCGAGGTCAAGACTATATGGGCTCATATGTATGATGCTGTTTGATTGCTGAAGTTCGCTAATGCTCATCTGCCTTGCAATTTGGTATCGGAGCTGTGGTACGATTGCGCTCATCTGGCGCTTGTCTTCTGCCTTATACGGTACATACATGAGGCTGCTGGGAGAGTTTGGCCGTAAGTGGTGTGTAGTGAGGAGGGTGGAGACGAGTGTGAAGGCGACCCAGATGGTGAGGGGCATCGCCTGGAAGGCTAAGGTGTAAATATTGGGTGTTCGCAGTGTGATGAGAACTATCTGTTGGGTGATTGAGGCTGAGGTGGAACGACGAAATGCTGGTTGTGCCGATGCTGTGACTGGTCATCACAATCATCTTCAGGTCATCTGGTGAGACTATCTCTGTGGTTGGGGGAAGCATGAACGAGGTACGTTGCTCTTAACCTTATCTACCCTCTTCATCACTTCTTACCGTGAGGTTGTGAGTTCTGTCTTGAGAGTCCTCTTATCGTGAGGTGTCGTGGGCGCTCAACCTTGAGAGTCGTGATTGTTCACGTGGAGCATCTGGGGAAAGACGGGCGGAGCTTCTTGAAGGGCCCTGGACGAAGCACTGGGTCACGGTCACCACGCCAACCCACTGGGTGTAGTACACGCATGCTTCGCTGCAAGTCGTTGGTTCTGCTGCTTGCGCAYGATAGGGGTTAACTCGAGTGTGGCAGCCTCTACAGACGCTTACCAGACCGTCTATAAACATTTCTGGCTGGGGACTCTGCTCTGCTCTGGCTGTGATCGTTGTCCTGCTGCGACGTAAAATAATTCCTGATGTCACTTGGGGGCGGACGTTAAATTGCCTCTTGATCAGCCAGATCATCCGAGTGGAAGGCTCGTCGGCGTACGAGGGTAAATAAGAGTGTTGTGGCTGCCTTGCTCGACGATAACCCAGGGCACAGGGGTGGGACCGGATTGCACACCTTTGAGACACGCTTGGCTTCTGATGCAAAGAAACGTGACACCGTGACTTTGAGAAGAACAAAGGGAGGGGTAGGTTCTAGGTGATAAGTTCGGGTTTTTAATTCCATGCTATGAACAGACCCAGTCAGTCAACATTATTTTTATTTTTGATTAGTTAGATGGACAGCCATGTGACATCTGACAGACAACATTAGTTTAGAATATTGTTTATTCCTGATGCTTCTTCTGTTTGAGAACTAAGCTTACTAAAAATAGTCTTGACAGTAGGAATTTGACTTACCTGTTGACCCCAAATGAGATCTGTTCCAAAAAAATAACCACCACTAAATAGTTGGTCTGTGTACTATGCTGCGGTAGGCATCTATAATGATTTAGTGTGGACAGTGCACAGTGCTGTAGCCTGTGAGCGACGCGGAGGACACCGGAGAGGACGACCGCAGGATCCTGCGATCTGCCAGAGGCCCGTTAACTCATGTGTCCCTAGGACCGGAGGGTGATAGGGAACTGTTCCGCCGACAGAGGGAGAGGAGAGCTAGAGCAGCCGAGGCCAGCAGAACCTTAATTGGTGAGGCTGGTGCTACAACAATCATGGGTACAACAACCATGAGCACGTCTGCTCAGCAGACTTCTCAAGCCGGTAGCTCAGGTACTGCCGGGTCCACGGTCGCACAGACCGTGAGTCAGTCCACTGGCTTAATGGCAAGCCAGCCCGCGGTGTTGTCCCCTGAGGATGTCGCCATCCAGCAGGTAGCCCTGCAAGAGGCACAGTTACAACAGACATTAGGACAGATAAAGAGAGAGAAGGAAATGATGATTAGAAGGAGAACCAGGATGCAACGAAGAGGGGCAGACATAGAGAACTTAGAAAGGATGGACGTGACCACTATGAATGATGATGTGAGAGTAGTTGAGAGGGCCCTGCTAGGCGTTATAGAAATGCAGGAGCACCAAACTACCATCCTCCATGACATCCAACAGAGCCTTGCCGTTTTGGCAGGCCGTGCTCAGGCAACACCATCTCCAGCAGGGCCTGGTGCCTGGCCCGTGCCATATCCTCCCTTCTCTGTCCCATCGGTGACAGGGGTATCCCCATATGTAGCCCCGTCAATGGTTGCCATAGTTTCCCTGGGCATGCCGCTGTCAGGAGGGGTAACAGCAGGGAGTAGTTTACAGGTTCCTGTACAGACAGTGTTTACTGCAAGTCCGTCATTGGTTGCAGTCACCACGCAGCCTGCTGTCTCGCAGCCAGTGCAACCTCAGGGCACACAGCCCCAGCAGCTAGCACAGCAACCTGTTTCGCTGGGTCCACAACCTCGAATGATGCAGGGACCGGGACAGACACAGTGGGTTCCAAAGACGGCCACCGCCGCTCTCAAACCTTTCACAGGGGACAAGAGAGGCGAGGACCTCGACACATGGTTGAGGGCAGTGCCGGTCTACTTCAGGTGCAAACTCACCTTGCCGCACGAAGAAGTGCTTGTGGCTGCGTCTTACCTTGAGGGTAGTGCAGCGAGATGGTTGAGTGGTCTAGTGCAACTTCAGGGATATGGTCATGAATTCCGCGCTTGGGCGACCTCCTAGAAATTGGAGGACTTCCGGAAGATGGTGGAGGAGAGGTGGCATGATCCTCAGGAGGCTCAAAGGGCCACTGACGCGATCCTGACACTGCACACACGACAGTTTAAGTCAGTAAGGGAAGCCACCGACGCTGTTTAGCGTTTGATCTGTGTCCCTGGGATACGCTATAATCCTCAGGTCTTGTTGACTTCGTACCTGAAACGTTTTTCACAGCCTCTCAGGAACCAGTTGGCAAAAGAGGCCAACATCAATATGCACAACTTCCCTTCGTTTAGCAAGGTGGCCCTAGACCTGGAAGCAAAGATAGGGCATGGACAAACACCCACTATGGAAGGGAGACAGAAGACACTGCCTCCTAACTGGAAAGCGAAAGGTCGCATTATGTTTGTCGACAACGAAGGATCAACCATCGAGTTGGACTGCAACTTCCCGGGTGGCGATACTTCAGAGGGTGGAGTAGTCGCCGCCGTAACCCAGCAAAAAGGTAAAGGGACCGGTAGACGCCCTAGGGGATCCCGGTCGAAGAGTCAAACAGACCCCAATGCTCCTCCATGGGGGAAAGCGAGTCTATCTGAGGACGTGTGGAGAGATCGGTGGGCACGGCAAGCTTGTATCAAGTGTGGCCAATATGGTCATAGCATGTACAAGTGCCGTAATAGGAAGGTCACCRAGAAGATCCCGCCCACTATGGGGTCGGTGGTAGGATCCTCTCAACCCGTTGGCAGCAACATTGCTAGTTCTTCAGGCAGTGCTCCGGAAAACACGTCGGGCAAGTAGGGATAGTAGCTGTTCCTACTAGGGTCACGATGGTGGATTCACCCTCATCTTCACGAGAGATGGCCCAAGCTACAGACTCTTCAGTCGTCCCGCAAACACATTCAGACCCGTCGACCCTCTGTTCGATGAATGTGTTTGAATCCTCAGAGGAGCTAGAGCATGAGTGGTCTAGATCAGATCCACTAGCTTCTTGGACGGCGTTATTTAAAGCCCCTAAGAGTGAAATGTTTGTCAGCGAGGTAGTTATAGGAGGCCGCAAGGCCGGGTCCTATTACGACACTTGCTCGACTAGGAACTTTATTAGCCGCGCGTGCGTTGAGAGGCTGCGCTTACAGGGGCAAGTGCAGCGCCTGAGTCGACCTGTGCCAACAAACAGCGTATGGTAGTTAATGACTACCTCCATGATGTAGAGTGTGTTTTCCCGTACGCGGGAGGGGACTTGAGACATCGTGTCTCGTTCCTAGTGAGTGACGAACTCCCAATGGACATGTTACTAGGTATGTACTACCTCTCTGTAGCACAGCCCCAGTTTGACTGGGACCGAAAAGTGGTAAAACACACGTTGCCAGGTGGAGGGACCGCCAGATTACATAAGTTCAAAGCTAGTAGTCTGATTGAGTCCTATGGGTGCATGTGTGCGGCCGCGTTCTATAATTATTATAAGCAAAATCAGGAGGAGGGTATGTACTTAGTTTATGTCTCTGCTGCAGGCGAGCCGGTGAAAATGCCGCCAAAGATAGAGGGAGTAGTTGCTAAGTACCCTGATCTATTTGAAGAGCTGACAAGGGTTGTTGAGAGGGAAGTCGTCCACGCGATAGAGATTATCCCAGGGTCTAGTATTCCAAAGGGTAGGATCTATCGGATGTCTCCAGGCGAGCTTGATGAGCTTCGCCGACATCTCAAGGAACTCGCCGAGTGTCTCTCCTTATGGGTCTCCAGTTTTATTTGTGCCTAAGAAGAAGGAGGGAACCCTTAGGCTGTGCATTGACTATAGGGGCCTCAATGCCATCACCGTCAAGAACAGAGAGCCCCTACCGCGCATCGACGATCTGCTAGATAGAATGCAAGGGTGTCGGTACTTCAGCAAGATAGATTTGAAGTCCGGGTACCATCAAATTGCCATACGGCCCGAGGATCAACACAAAAACGCTTTTCAGACCAGGTGCGGTCTGTACGAGTTTGTGGTGATGCCTTTTGGTCTTTGCAATGCTCCTGGCACCTTTCAGCACGCTATGAATTGGATATTCCATGACTACTTGGATAAGTTTGTCRTCGTGTACCTCRATGWCATACTTATTTTYAGTAAGACTGTCGAGGAACAYRTRGCAYAYTTRGACAAAGTYCTCRGYCTCCTGCGACAGCACAAGTTCAAGATCAAYGGKGARAAGTGCGAGTTTGGCCGCACCCGTRTCTTGTACTTSGGTCATGAGATYTCYGCGGARGGRTTGAAGCCCGATGACGCGAAGGTGGCTAGCATTCGTGATTGGCCACGTCCTCAGTCTGTGACTGAGATGAGATCTTTCTTAGGAATGACAGGCTACTATAGGACTTTCGTTAAGAATTACAGCATAGTGGCGGCTCCTTTGACTGATCTGACCCGCCTTGACAACCCTTGGGAATGGACAGATAAGTGCGAGGCTGCTTTCAGACATCTGAAACATGCACTGACGCACTATGAAGTCTTGAAACTTCCTTATCCTGACAAGCTGTTTATAGTCACAACGGATGCCAGCCAATATGGCATTGGCGCCGTGCTTGCGCAGCAGGAGGGGCCAAAGTTGAGACCAGTAGAGTACATGTCCAAGAAAATGCCGTCTCAGAAGTTGGCTAAGTCCACTTATGAGAAGGAACTCTATGCGGTGTACAAGGCTCTCACCCATTGGAGACACTATCTCCTTGGGCCGTTCTTCATCCTCCGGATTGATCATCAGACCCTGAGATGGATGGGAACACAACCGGTACTCTCTGATGCTCTCAAGCGTTGGATCGAAGTCATTGAGCAATATGACTTTGACCCTCAGTATCTCAAAGGGGAGTACAACAAGGTTGCTGATGTCTTGTCACGCAGACCGGACTTCTCAGGTGCATTGATTACTGAGTTCGATCTGACGGACGATGTTACTCAGTCTTTGGTGGAAGCCTATCGTCAGGACCAGTTTATGTCTGAGATTATACGCAGACTTGAGGCGAAGGATAAGAAGACCTCCGCCGAGTTTGAGTTGGTCAATGGATTGTTGTTCTTAGAGAAGGCAAGGAATAAACGCTTGTGTGTCCCAAATAGCGAGCCTTTGTGTAGTTTGTTTTTAGGCGAATGTCATGATGCCACCGACCATTTTGGGTACAAGAAGACCGCAGCCAACTTGCTGCAGCGGCTCTAGTGGCCAACGATGATGAAAGATGCACAACTGTACGTGGAAACTTGTCAAGTATGCCAAAGAGACAAGCCCCGTACTCAGGCTCCTCTTGGGCTGCTCAAGCCCTTCCGATTCCGGAAAGGCCGGGTGAAAGTTTGTCCATGGACTTCATGGATACGTTGGTCACCATCAAGAGTGGGATGAGACATATCTTTGTCATCGTGGATAGGTTTAGTAAGTTTGCTAGATTAATAGCTATACCAGAAACAGCGAAGACCGAGTACGTGATCAGGCTATTTAAAGAGAACTGGGTTAGAGACTTTGGACTGCCGAAGTCTATAGTCAGTGACAGGGACGTCAGGTTCACGAGTGAATTGTSKAAGGCCGMTGCAGCTGWAYAAGGRACTCAACTGCAGATGACTTCTGGAAATCATCCAGAAGCTAATGGCCAGGCTGAACAAATGAACCGCGTTGTGCAACACCTATTGAGGCACTACATCAAGCCCAATCAGGTAGACTGGGACGAAAAGCTTGCCCTAGTCGCCAGTCTATATAACAACGCTATACACAGTGCTACCGGGAAGAGTCCTAACAGTCTACAACTGACATTCAAGCCTAGATTGCCCTTAGACTTCCTACTTCCAGACAACCAGCCAACTGCTACACCAGGCACTTTGGAGTTCGCCTATAGATATGATCAAAAGATGTAGGAGGCTGTAGAACACATGCAGAAGGCGCAGGCAGCAATGATAGAGTCTGAGAATAGACACCGCCGCCCTTCTACATTTCAGGTTGGGGACAGAGTCTGGGTCAAGTCTTTAGAACTGGGACAGGAGTTCGGGATATCCTGCAAACTCATGCCTCAGTACTTTGGGCCTTGGGAAGTTCTAGATGTAGTAGGGACAGATTCTGATGGTCCATCATATGTCATCCGTATCCCTGGTCATCTCAGAACTCACCCTGTCTTTCACGCCTCTAAGCTCGCTGCGTTCGAGGAAACTGATCAGTTTCCCTCTCGTCGGTCAATGGTGCCCCCAACCATGGACGGAGAAGTGGACATCGATGATATCGTCGACCACAGGGAAATGCTAGTTCAGAAGCCTCCAGGAAGGGGACGTCCTCCAAAGCCAAAACTGCAGTTCCGTGTTCACTTTAGACATCACACGGATCCGAAAGAGGACCGCTGGCTTACTCGGGAAGAATTGATGCAGACCGCTCCTCAAATCGTTGCCCGCTATGAGAAAGATGTAGTGAAAGGAAAGCGCCAGATGGCTCAAGATTGATCTTCGCAGAGGACTAACGAAGATATGGAGGAGGGAATGCGAGGCTACGCCCGCTTAGCCCCTACGGGGCCCTATCTGCAACAAGGTCGGCCGCCCTAAGTGAAGGCAGGCACGACAAGCCCTTCGGGCCTCATTCTTCAAGGTACCCCGCATTGGGGAAATTCAGATAGTTGCATTGCGCCAGTTGGTTGAATGAATCCAGGCCCTGGGCCGCATGTGTAAATGAATGTGAAGCAGGCTCTGGGCTGGATACGGGTATCGGGCCAAACATAGGCCGAAAGCAGTTGGGCGCATGCAACCACTTCAGGCCCAATGCCTGCTCTCTTCGTGACTGGGCCTGTGCCTACCGGGGCCTACCAGAAGCTTCCTGGACTGGACGCAGGCAGGCCACTTCGATATAGGGAAGGGTCTGCCTCCTCATTCGGTATTCGGGTGCTGGTTGCATGCTGCGTGAGCGCTGTTGCGTAATCCGCTGGCTGGCTGGCACTCACGCTCTCACGGGCGAGTAGGAGAGAGCACGCAGCCATAGCCAAGCTGCGCTGCTGTATGCTAGGTGATGCGCAGGGTGGTCCTTGGGGTGCTAGTGGCATCTGTGCGGTGTGGATCAGGGTTGTGAGTGTTACGAGAGACATACCTGGTGCTGAAGCGTGCGACATTTGTCGCCCTATGCTCGTACTTCGGGAACGTTGTTGCTGTCATCATTCTGCTTCGTAGTATAGGCTAGATAGGATTTGCCACATGTAGTCTAAGCGCCGAGCGCCAATAGGATATAAACTCTGGTTCGTAGTTGATGATGATGGGACTACTTCAGCATTGTCAATTTTRAACTCTTGGTGTGTTCTTATTTGGTGTATCTCGTGATGCAAGTCTGCTGTGGTTCGAGGTCAAGACTATCTGGGCTCATATGTATGATGCTGTTTGATTGCTGAAGTTCGCTAATGCTCATCTTCCTTGCAATTTTCTGTATTTGATTTTTAATTCAAATTTGGTCAAGAATTTGGATGTAATGCCCAGGCAAATGTTGTTTTGTTTAGTTTTTTTCATAACATATTGTTTTTCGGGGAAGTTTTTGAAAAACCTTTTTTTTTTTTTTTTTGTCCGCGTTCGGCCCGAACGGCCGAACGCCTTCCGAAGGGGTCCCGTACGCTCGGGCGTTCGGGATCGGGCGTTCGGCCCGTCCCGAATGCCGGCAACCCTGATGTAAATTATATAAACCCTATAATGTCAATTGACTTTAAAGAATTGCGAGCTAAACTTTTGAAAGTGAAAAAAATATAAGTTGAACTGTAAATTTTTCCATATCACCTCAAAGGCTCGACCCCACAACCATAGGTAATTTTTGAAAAACTTGTTATGAAAACTAGGCTACCAAGCGGGCTGCCCAGATCACCTTGTTCTCCTGGATAACTCAACCATGCAGGACTAGGGAAGGTCCTAAAAAAGAAAAAAACTAGGTTATGCATAAAAAATAAACTAAACAATTTTTGCCTCAGTGTCACATCAAACTTCTTTGCAAAAACAAATGAAAAAATAAAAAATACTAAGCTAAGAAGATTTTCATGCTCGGCCGGATACTCAGGTGTGACGTCCGGGGGGTCTGACGCCCGAGATACCTGGGCGCGCAAATTTTTTTTTTTTGTCTTTCTGCGTTCTCCCAGAGGACCCCACATGTGAACTTTTTGCATTTTTTGAAAGTTGGCTATCAAGGGGGGGGGAAGGGGGGTGAAATTTCATTTCAAGGGGCTAAAGGGGTTTAAAGAACACCTCGACATGTATCCGGGCACAAATTGGGTGCCCGGGCGCCCGAAAAAAGAACCTAGATACTAAGCTACTAGAGTGGGGCGGGTTCACTTACCCGACTGGGCCAAAAACAAAATAAAATCCAAAAAAAAAAAAAAAAAAAATTAAAATTTTAATTTTGTTAAAATTTTGGTAAAGAATTATGATGTGACCCCGAGGCAGAACTTGTTCAGTTCATTGTGGAGTGGAGACAACTGCGACAAACAGTCTGTTCGTGGGACTGTAAGACTGAATCGCCACAAGCAACACCATAACCGACGTCAAACATGTTTACACTGAAAAAAACTTTACCAAATTCCACAGAGTTCAAAAAAAGGCATCGCACATGGAACTCTACGAGAGGATTAGTAATCCTCTCTAGGCAGATACCTCGACGTGTTTCGCAAGAGCCGCTTCTTGTATGCTCATTAGGAGGTTGGGCGGAAAGTCGAGAAACTTCCTAATGCGGCCTTCAGCCTTGGTCCGCTGGTTAATGAACTAATCTGTTTCCCTTTCCCCCTAGATTTCGTCGTTGCCTTTACTAGATCTTTTACTGGCTGGAGTTGATCCTGAAGTTGGATTTCCCTCCGAGGTCTGAATGTTGTTGCCTCCCTCATCGAGATCCCATAGTTGTGCCTATCTGTCTAGGCTGCAATCCTGGTTGCCAGCTTTTGTTTCAATTGATATCCGTTATCATCCGTACCGACCACGGTTGCGGTAGTGTCAGCTGTTGTGGCTGTGGTTCTTAAGCCGAGTTCTACAGTCTGCTACCTTCGTGTCAGATCTAATTTTGTCGTGCAGTGCCTATTAGCTTTCCACTTCTCCGAGTTACACTTGTACTATTTAGGTTCTTACCTCTTATACGCACCACAATTTCGACAGCCAGTCTTGACTGTAGTTCGGCAATAACCGGTGCAGTCCCAAACTTAATTCCAAATAACTTTTCCGTCGTGGCTTGTCTTTACCCGATCCAAGGCATTTTCCGAGTTACATCCTAAATGGTTGCAACTGCCTTCGTGGTCCCGAAAAGGCCAACAGAGGCCTTAAGCCTTAGCCAGGTTAAGCACCCCGAAAAGACCGCCGGGGGGTAGTCCCAGAGGAGGGTCTCTCAAAATAATGCGAAAAATGTCGGAATCGTGAAAGTCTCACTCGATGCTAGATCCAAGTATCTCTTGATAGTACTGCATACAACATTCTTCTTCACTTGCTTAGGTGTGTACGAGGAGTAGTCATGTAGCCCTTGGATCCCCAATCTGTTCTCCATCTCGAGATGCATCTGGTTCTGTGATGATGGCCAAAACACCACCTGCACAAAATCTCCGAGCACCATAACCTGTCCACCTACGAAGTGCTAGAAGTTTTGCCTTTTATCTTTGTGAACCGAGATAAGATCCTGGTGGTATGCTTCCTGGAACCGAGCCAGAATGTCGGATACCTTGGTTTCTTCGCGATCCTTTGGATCTTCTGCAACGAAAATACTAATATTGTCCATCATTCATAGCCCGACTACTAAACTCATGTCCTTCACGAGTGATCTCAGGAATCCATACTACCCATGGGCACATGTGATACAGGCAAGCACCGGACTTACAGGCCTCCTCGTCGGTATATCGAAAATCTGGGTTTTGAGCCCCTTCATACACATACAGATGGATGACTCGAGCACAAAACACACCGCGTCCCGAATGCTCGTGAGCGGAATCGATATGAATCCCACTTCAGTCCTACAACTCCTCCCCAGTTTGCATATCTTCCTTCGGACGGACACCTTTACTTGCTTAATCCCATGTGTCTCATGCTCACTCAGCAGTCAATCAACCGCATTCATGATTGCGCCGTGGTTCAATCTAGAGAACATTTCTTTCACATCGTAGCATTGACCATAAACGACATGCGCCACTGTTTTCCTAAACTGCGTGCCGATTCCCGCTAAGGTAGCTGGCATAGCTGCCATGGAGCTCTAATTGAAATGCTTGGAGGGATCCAACATTAGCAGTAGGTACTTGAGAGCTTTCTCGATTTTCTTG